ATCACACTGCGGTACACAGGCATATCTACGTGTTGATATTTCCAGAACGCAAGTTGTGACTCTGGAGACAACGAAACAGGTCAGAAAAACGTACGTTAGGCAACCAGGCAATACGACGTTGGCGTGAAGAATACCACCTATAACTAAGAGTATGGTGTGGAGTCCACTCGGTCTGAATTTACAAAGTCGCTATCATGACAGGAATAGCACAAATTCTTAGCGTCTACTAGCGTTTCATACAATGACTGGTGTGGCTAAATTACTATGGCCTCTAGAGCAAAGTCGATTGGGCTTATTCATACCGTCTAGTGGCATTCGACATAGAAATGTAACATTCTAGTCTCAACTTCACCTGCAAGAGCCTCCCGACAAATTACGTCACCGCAATTATGAGTGCTGAAGATTTCGGGGCACCAACCACCATAACTCACACTAGTATTTCTTCTTCTACGTTTTACTGCAGTAGCTATTTGCTGTCAGCAAAAGCAAAAAATGATCTCGCAGTAATCCTAGAAAAGATCATACAAGGCCAGCCCGATATAGCTGAAAAATGAAAATGCGTAAGATAAAACACCATATTGGTTCGCGTGTAGTAAACTAGTAGTAATAGGGCCAATTAGCAGGGAGGCCAGCCGAGTTGCTTTCCACCAAGAACATGAACATGCAAGTGGTAGATGGACTGACAGCCTTCAGGACCGTTGTTAATTACAACTCGGTATCCCCTTGATAAATTCCTGGTTGCAGCAACTTTTTTCGCCACCAGAAGTAAGTGGCCAAGAAGCTATAAATTGATCATCTTAAAGGTAACAGAACATACTGTCTCGTCGGTTTCAGTGGCTGCATCGAGACACGTAATCGGTTTCTTGGGGACAACTAAGAAGTGGGTCGGTGCCTGGGGGTAGTTATCGTTGAAGGCAACACAGAGATCATCCTCATAGAGAAGCTTACAACGTATTTCCTTTCGAACAATCCTTCCGAAGACCGTATCACCTTCAGATGGAGAAGCTTCCTGAGCCTTTTCCACTTCGGAAGCCATTTTGCGTGGATAAGGACAATACTTTATTGGCAGCCGGAATAACGGCACAAACAACCGTTGCATGAACTTCAAGGTCACTCAAAATTATTTTTCAACTTCTAATTGTTTAGTTTGAAAAAAATTGTTCAAGGTTTTTGCAACATTTAAAAGCTAAACAATTATAGTTTGTAGTATTGATAAAAATTAAAACTGCTAATCGTGTGCCCTACTTCTGAAATCAGCATTAATATAAGTTTTTTCGTTAGTCAACAACCAGCCACCGTTGAGAAAACTGTACATAATTATGATTTGTAATTGTGTAGAATACTCGAGCCCTAGTATGGATAAGACTAGTACAACAGAACAGGCTTTATTGACCAATTACAAGCCGGAGCCGCAAGTCAGGCGCCTTCCATCCGAGTGTACCGCCCTGGCCACGCCGCTCATTATTTACTGCTCCTCGACTGTGTCCTTCTCTGGTTGGCTGCTTATCTTCCTCGCATGCCATTGGAACACAGAGAGACACAGGTTTGGCTGCGGCCAGGTGGTCCAACATATCTGCGCCTTGATCCATCGCCACACTGCCTCCCCCTTAGGAGTGAAGCTGTCCTCAGCTTCTGGCTTGGTTCCTTGCACTGATGTTGATTTCCAGTGTTGGTAAAATATCCAGTTCGACACTCCCCGCACCCCACATCTGGCAGGATAGTGGTCCATGCGAATAGTTGACGAGGGACTGTATCTTGTAGACTTGCAGGGAAAGACTCATCATCCATTGAAGGTCCTTCGCAGATGCAGTCCAGCTGGCTTCCACTGTCCAAGTCGTCGTCGCTGAGTTACCGATGCCTCTTCAGATGCAGTAGTCCTAATCCCGGGCAATGTTTATGGATCCATTTTTTTGGACATCGGATGAACGCCATGGCAAATTCAGCTGGCATGTAAGGGTCTTTACCTCTGTTGACCATAGAAGAGAAAGGGCTATGGTTCGATTAGCGTTATTCGAACGCACCCGCTGCCACCAGTGTAGAATACCCGAGCCCTAATAGGTAAACAACCGGTTCAACAGACCAGGCTTTATTGATCAATCAGAAGCCAGAGCCACGCATCAGGCGCCTTCCATCCGAGTCCACCACACTGGCCACGCCGCTCATTATATACTGCATCTCATCCATGTCCTTCTCTGGTTGGCTGCCTTCCTTTCTCGCATGCCATTGGATTGCAGAGAGACACGGGATTGGCTGAGGCCAGGTGGTCCAACATGTCTGTGCCCTAATCCGACGCCACAATACTGCACCTCAGTCGTGTCCTTCTCTGGTTGGCTGCTTATCTTCCTCGCATGCCATTAGAACACAGAGAGACACAGGATTGGCTGCGGCCAGGTGGTCCAACATGTCTGCGCCCCGATCCGACGCCATACCACACCACAACTCTAATTGTTCCTTCCGTTACGTACTGCGTGATATATTCATCCACTGCTACTTTTTCATACAGAAACTGCAACTCTGTTTTCCTGTTTTTCGCAAAACCTCTCCTGTTTTATATTCCAACTCTGTCCGTTTATTCGGTCATCCGATACATTATGTATATACCTGGTGCCGTAGCACTAGAATTGTCTTTCGTTATCTAATCAGTCAAATGCGCCGCTTGGAATTCGACTAGTTCAATAAACATTTAAATTGGTTACGGACACTTTTTGGGATATGCTTTCTAGGAATATTAATGCCCAGAAGTTTTCTCGTGTTATTTGTATCCAATTCTGGACGTAGACCTCGGAAACATGTTTGTGCAACCTAGCTAGATCCCACTTAAAACATATTAGTAACCATCTTGTTTTAAGTCGCCTGTTCTTGAACACAATAGCCACGAGCCAATCTCTATTAAGATGTTAAGCCTTCTAGCCTTTCAAACGTATTTTTCTTTGCTCCCAAGATGCCCATATTGGCTGACCAGTCTTCGACTCTGGAAAAGGCGGCGACAGAGGCACCACTTGGCAAGTATGTTATCTTTTGTTCTGCCTTTCTAGTCATTGTGCTGCTGCTTCAAAATCATCGCTTTCTTCCTATTGTTCATGAAAACTAACCTTGGTTATGATTGCCAATATTCTGTCTATATTGAATACTTTTCGCCCTCAGTGACTTGTTTGTCGGTTCCTCTATTTGCTAGCATTTGTGCTTGTCAATATTAGTTGTTTTGCTTGGATGTGTGGGAAACTTCAATCATGGGTGTCTTTTGTTCATTGAACACAAAATGAGACGCACCGTAAAATTTTACCGTAGCACGATAAACACTGCCTATTTCCCCAATGATACGTAAGTCATTGCAGACAATTGAATTTATTTGTTCACTTGCACTCACTTGTATTTGTTGTAGAAAGCCCCTAGACACGAACAGTTGTATAAAGAACGAAGACAACATTTGGCCTGACGTTGTTGACGTGAGCCCCACACCAACCAATCTTAATTTTAAACAAACTGCT